AGTTGTATATCTCTAAAATCAGCTATTACACTTAGCGAATATATAGCATTTGAATTAATGCAGTCTTTTGAAATGAAAAATACCAGAAAATCAATCATACTTTCTTAGCAGACAATATCTTAGGGTATACGTAACCGATGTCATTCTTTATATTATACAATACTAGTGTGTTTAAATAGATTAATACACTAGTAATATCAGCTGTATTAGCTCACCACTATTTGATATACAGTAGCTGCTGAATCGAAAGCGAAGGAGGCTTGTAAAAAAATCACAGAAAATCTGGACGGATTAAATATTACATGGAACCCCAAGAAGGCCTAGACCGCTTGTATTGTTTCATTCCCTCTTCCTGTATATAATCGTTCTTATGTGAGGTTAGGTTAAATGGTTATTAAAATCATTACTCCTTTACTTAGTTCCGACGGTCGGATTTCCACTCGTAAACAAACACTCAACGGTTCGTATTCACTGGAGTCAGGCTTACCAATCAGTACAAGTCCTAGTAGCGTTATTAATGGGAGGAACAAGTCCAGAAAGTTAGCCGTATGGTCCTTTTGGCCGACCATTGACGGCTTTCTTGAGATTGCTGCCGCGTACCTACTACAATGGGAGCGTCAAGATTAATTGCCCGAGGTCACTTAGAAATACACAGTGAATCGTTCCAAAAATCACATATTTAAAGAAAAGAGAAATATAGAGAAAACTTATCCTCATAGACGATGAATTTCCTAATGTAGTATAAAAATAATTATTACCCAGTGCATCACTAGCGAATTCTGCCAGGGGGCGCTCCCTCCCTTTGATGCTGGAAAAAAATTACGAAAAAAACACCTATATAAAGAAAAGAGAAAATTCATCCTCAAACACGAGTTCCCCAATATAATATTTTTAAAAAAAATTATCGTAACCAGTACTAGCAAATTGAAACAGAGTGCGCGCCTCCCTTGGTTGGTGAAAAAAAAATCCCCCCAAAAAACAGCTATTTAAAGAAAAGAGAAATATAGGAAAAAGTCATCCTCGAAGTCGAATTTTCTAATGTGATATAAAAAAAATTATTATCGTGACCAGTACTATGGGATCCAGCCAGGGAGCGCGCCCCCCTCTCTCCGCTGGATAGTGGGGGAGAAAGTTCCAAAAACAGCTATTTAAAGAAAAGAGAAATATAGGAAAAATTCATCCTCATAGATGAATTTTGTAATGTGATATAAAAAAAGTTATTATCGTATCTAGCACTAGTGATTTCTGCCAGGTGGCGCGCTCTCCTCTGGATAGTAGAAGAATAATTCCGAAAAAAAAAGATCCAATAAACAGTTATTTAAATTAAAGCGAAATATAGGAAAAAATCATCCTCTTAGACGAAGTTCCTAATATAACCAATATCATCGATAATCTATTACTGGATCTTGGCTGCCTCACGAGTTTTCCTTCATGTTTCCCTGTCCTGAGCAGCCTCCACCAGTTCCTGATTGCATGGAGTATGGCATCCATCTGTTTCGGTCTACCCATTTTTCTTTTTCCATCCGACTCCATGCTCAGCAAATTCTTTGGGATTGAGGTTTCGTCCATCCGTACAACTTGGTCCTCCCATCTCAGCCTTGTTATCCGGCTATATTTCACCACATCCGTCTCCTTGTATAAGTTAGCTAGTTCTTGGTTGCGTTTAATTCTCCATTCACCATTATTCTCCTTAACTGGACCAAATATCTTCCGAAGTACCTTCCTTTCGAAAACTAATATTTTAAACAGCTGTTTAATGGAAAATATAGAGAAAATTCATTCTCATAGATGAATTTTCTAATGTAATATATTAAAAAAATTACTATCGTGACCAGCACTAGCGAATTCTGCAAGGGGGCGACCATCCCCCTGTATGGTAGACAAAAAGTTCAAAAAAGCATCTATTTAAAGAAAGAAAAAGCAGTGATGTAGTTTTTGGGTCACAGTGAGATGCGAAGGATTGTGCTCCTATTGACTGACTCCTGAATCTCGCAGGTAAAATACATTATTGAGGAAAATTTATTAAAATGAATTTCATTTATTCTTTTGAACAACATTTTATTAGAACAAAAGGAAATACGGGTTTTCTCCCGGATCCAGCTTTTATTCATTTCAAATAGCATTTCAATCTCCAGCTTCTATAGTCTCCTGGAAGAATCCATGGGAAGATCTGGTTACGATAATAATTTGTATTTTTCTCATTAGAAAGTTTTGTTCTTTTCTTAAAATAGCTGCTGTTGGGAACGTTTTCATGAAGGAATGTACTAATTATTTGACCTCTAATCTTTTTCAGATTTTGACAATGTCGGTAAAAAAATTTACATTTGTTGAACGTAGTTATCGACCATATCACTTAATCAAATCATTAAGTTTAGGTACTCGTTACAATCTGGCGTTCTTTAATTTCTTTAAGAATACGTTTTTTCGCTTTGATGAACTCTTTAGCAGTAATACATGAAAAAAAAATCAGATAAATCTGGATTATTTGGTTGCAAGAAGTTTTCTCTTGGTAACCCTTGTTAGCAATTTATTTTTTTACATGTGTAAACCCATACACAGGGTGTCTTGTAGGCAGAGAGAAATATTTAAAGGATTGATATCATAACTCAATACAAACAATGGTCCGATTTTCAGCAGGAAAATTTTGTGATTTGTGATTTTTTTATATAATTCATGGATTTTGATGGATAGGAAGTGATAACAAAAAACTATTTAATTTAAGTAATGAACAATTGCATGTAAACTAGACAAAAATTTACTTTAAATAAAAATAGAGTTTGCTTTTGTTAAAACCATTTAAAGAGCACTTTTGAAGGGAACTCAGTTAATGATGTGGGGGAGATGGATAGTGGTGGGGGAGATGGATAGTGGTGGGGGAATGGGTAGGATGAGGAAAGTACCTGGTACAGAGGTGTGCTCCTCTCCCCTGAAAAAATTCCTGGCTCCGCCATTGCCTTAAAGTCCCGTTGTAATGAATTAAGTTTTAAATTTCCTTACTTATTGCATTTCAAAACTATAGGGGAAGGGATGACACAACTTCGAAAATGATTATTTCAAAAAATTGTAATATAAATTAGAATGATTTTAGATAAATAATTTAAATTAACAAAAAGTGGATGTAAATGTAGTTTTATTAATAAAAACTTTTAAAAGATTATCTTCTCAATCAACATTTAGTTTCCTATCTTCTCAGAAATCTATCTCCTGAATATATATAAGAATAATATTTTTGTGTTTTAGAGTTGTCAGCCTCATTTCATTGTTATTTTAAGATGTCTATCTATATTATATTATCAACTGAACAAACTCATATACGCCTATCTATAATTCAAAAGACAACTTATGCCTTTCTTTAATTTTAATTTCAATACATGAGAGTAATGTAATTTAATTAACAAAAAGGAGATGATCAACTTCTTATACCAGACAAACATCACTAAATTGTTTATTATAATTATTCTTAGAGGGCTTAATGTTCCAGAATAAAATTTACTTTTCTTTCTTTCTTTCAACAACCCATCAACTGTAGTAGACTGCAGTTTTTTCCTTGGAATGAAATGATTTTATTACAATGATAAAAATATTCCATTAATTCTTCTATTTTAGTACTGATTATATTTATTATATGAAACTTAATGAGATATTTATTCAGGATTCATTGAATTATGATTTTTATTTAAATAAATAACAAAATGATTCTATTTCCAAAAAAAAATAAATAATTAATTACTTTTCCATCATTAACTCATTGAAAACTCACTTTCGGGATTAAGCCAACCCCTCTCCATTCCCCCAAAATAGTAAAATATAAACATGTCTTATGAAAAAAAAAAATTAATAATTACCTCTAAGAATATTATTGTTCGTATAATTACAGTTAATAGTACTTAAAGAATCATTTAAACTCTATTTCATATAGGTAGTTAGTTTATTTCTTTAACTTCCAAAGTAAATATTTTTTCAAATAATCTTTCGGGTTGAAGCCTCCCGAAAACTAAATCCTGGATCCGCTAGTGATAGTTGGAGATTAAAAACAATAAATATTAACAAACTATACATAATTCATAAGTTTTCTTTTCATACCTATAACAAACAAATTAATTTAATTAGTGTAATGTAGAAAAGTACAACCAATGGTAATGACAAATTTTATATTAATACATACCCATCAATTGACATTATTAGTTATATGTTGAAATGTTTTACAGCATCTCTGACATAACTTCATGGAAGAAAATGACACATCAATATTTAAAAAATTAAATTTCATGAACTTTAAAACTAGAACACCTTAATAATATGTAATTTGTCCTTTTAAAAAAATAAATCTAAGTTAAGAATATGGTGTTTGAAAGTAGTGTGATATAAAATCATATACACACATTGTACACTCAAAACACATTCCCTTTAGTACTAAGTAAAATTGATTTATACTTAAAATACATAAATTAATATAAACAAAAATCATGTGTAATTGTTCCCATTAAAATTAATCAGGGGACTGCATTTATTCATTTTTAAATTTTTATTATTATTAATTTTAATGATGTAATAATAACGTAATTACATAATAGTGTATTCATTGTCATAATAGAAAAATAATATGTTATCATTAAGTAATAGCGAATTACTAGGAATACTTAAATATTTCATCAACTGAGTAATATGATCAATTGATTAAATATTTATACAAACAAGAAAAAAAATTTTAATGTTTTTTATTGTATGGAAAAGTTAAGACTGAAGAATACAAAAACTATTTATAAAATTTTAAATACTGTAACTCGATCACAAAACAAAAAAATAAAAATCTTTGTACAGTTTTATTTTTCTAATAAAATACATTTGTACATCAATAGGATAATGGAAAAATTGTTATGCATACATTTAAGTCAACTCGATTCCACTATGGAATGGTTGAAGAAGAAATTGTGAAAATAAGCACTTACAAAAACACATACATAGCTTAGGTCTTTATATACATATAATGTGTCTAATTTTTAGTCAAATTCATTTAATTTTTTCTGGGTCACATTGCTCGGTTTAGAACACATATTTATAGCATCACTGGAACTGGAGTCCATCAACGTCATTCCTGATGGAATTAACTGACAAGACGAAGTAGATTCACAAATTTCATTACAACTTCCACTAGTATTTTCACAAATCACGTCACGATCAATGTAATGTTCTGTATCAGTTCCAAAGACAGTGCTTGGACCTAGATGACCAGCAGGACAACCACCAATCATTTGATGTCCTTGTGGCAAAGCTTGGGCGCTGTCTTGTTTAGGAAGCACCCTCTCATTCATGTTGTATGGAACATCTCTAGTTAATGATGGGTATCCTACTTCATAATATGCAGCATTCATTGGAGAAGCAAGCCTTTGTTGTGGCATTAGCTGCAAGTCCTGATAATAAACAGGGGCCTGAAAGAAAGGCATACCGCCTTGTCCATAGAACATGGGATGCTGTCCCATAAGAGGAGGTATGCTAGAGAGAATAGGATTCTTCGGTACAGTTGTGGGTTTTGTCGAAGGAAAAGACTGGTTATTCGAAAGCATAGATGAAGCAGTTGGGCCACCAGATCTAGTAGATAAACCTAGACTAACATTTTGATTTCCTGAATCAAAATCCTTGGAGGCTGTAAAAGGTATAGGAACTATTGTAGGTTTATGCTGTGCAGTGCTACTGTAAGTTTGATAAGGAGTAGTGTATGAAGTTGTTGGCAAAACATTGCTTCCGTAGATATTTTGACTACTTGAAGTATAAGATTGAGTTCCTAAAATATTCTGATAGGAATTAGATATGTTCGACATCACAGGTATCGACTGGGAAGGTTGCGTCACATAATTACTACAATGGTACTGAGGACACACATTACTCATCCCTCCACTCTCTCCACCAGATGAAGCAGGATAAATATTCTGATTAGGAGCTGTGTTTTTAATTGAAGTTGTGGCTAAACCAGATAAATATTGAGAACTATAAACTGGCTGTGCTTGCTGAAACATTTGAGGAACTTTACAAAAAGATGTAGGAGGTATAGAATCAACAGGATTAGAACTTCCAGAAAAAATATGAGAAGAAGAATCACTTTTATTTATTTTAGATGCTCTATTTTCATGATGTTTTGATGTTCTGAGATTAGTTGGTTGCAGTGAAAAAGCATTTGCTTCATTAGAATTATCTTTTAAATCCAAAGATCCAAATTGGATATCCAATAGCCCTACGTTGCTTTTAACAGAAACAGGAGGCATTTCAACTGGTTTTGAAGGATGTTTTGTAACACTTCCATGTGGCTTGTAAGAGATTCTATCCCCTGTAATTTCTTGGTTTTCTTTCAGCTTATCAATCCTATGAGGTTTTGAAGGATTGGCCCCAAGTGGTGGAGATCTGCTTTTAAGAGCTGCTGGGACAGATGTGCAACAGCTTGTAATTGGTGGAGGCAAGGATGTTGGCATATTGGTTGGAGGTATAACTCTTGTTGGAAAAAATTGTCCTTTAGTAGGAGATGGTAAACTTGGCAATGTTGGGTGAACTATAGAATCATCATATAGGTTTGACTCTTTAGTTTCAAATGTTGAGTGTGTTGGTGGGATATTCAACTTTGTTTGAGGATTTGATTCAGATGAAGTATAAACTAAAGTGCCTGATAAAGACCCTGTGTATTCTTCTTCATCCCAATCATAGGTACGGTTTTGGTTAAGCATTGAGGCTATAGGTCTCTTGGGATCCCATGTGTCAACAGGTCTTACAGTTGGAGGAACAACTCTTTCAAAAGTCCTGCTTTGAATAATGCCAGTATCTTCTGGTTCGTCATAATTACTACTAGTGTTACTCGGCCTGTGATAGCGCCTTCCACGATCAGCGTAATCAGATTGTTGAAAACCTCCTCCTCTACCACGGAAATTTCTACCTCCTCTTCCACCCCTAGAATTAGATCCTCTGTTCCCAATTGAAGGTTTAGTATTAAGAGAAGAATCCCATGGTTCACATTGCTGTGTCACTTCTTGAACATTTTCAGATTTATTTTTAGGTGGTTTTGCCTCTCCTGGAGTTCTAGTCTTCTTTTTCTTCGACAATGTCGACCATTCTCTTTCCATATCACCTTCTAATAATAAATTCACTGCTCTATTAGGATCAAATTCACTATCATGTAATGCTAAATAAGCTTCTTCCATTGTTCTTTGAGTTGCGTCCATCACCTGTCTCAATTTTTCTTTTAATTTAGGATCTTCCTTTTTTGTATTTATCAATTGTGCAATTCTTAACTGTTCAGAGGTTGGTTGGGATTTGTTTTCTCCCTGCTTTGGGGCAGTTTCTTTTTTGATAAGTTTTGCTGATGTGGAATTTGTAACATCCATTCTTGATTTGATGACTTCAGTGGCCAAACTCATAGTATCAGAAATGCATAAAAAATCAGTATGTTGGTAAAAGGAATCCCCTGAAAAAAAAATATACGTATATGAATTTATCAAACTAAATTATTATTAAATCATATTGCTAATTAATTGGGTATCTAACCAGGGCTTATCAGAATAATTCACTTAGGAGAATCAGAAGTCAGAAGTATTAACAGGTTAATATGATAATTAATATAGAAAAAGTTGTATAAGCTGTATAAAGCATCACAGTGAGTATCCCATTGGAAGCAGTCAACATAATATCTCTGAGTGAATTCACCCAATGTTGTCTCAGTATTGAATATAGCAGTTTACCTGACAAATACCATTCGTAAAATATATTCTGAACACATTAATATTTTCTAATAGAAACGTGATAACAAAAATAAAAACAAGACATCAGTGACTCTAAAGAGAAGAAGCTATTAAATAAATTAGTTTAAAATTTTGTGAATGAAAATATACTGAAAAAAAAGATGATGTAAAATAAAAATAATATAAAACATATCTTTATATTCCACATAAAGACAATATGGAAGTTCAACAATATGAAAGAATTCCATGAACTAAGGGAAAACTAAAGGCCAGATGTATTAAGGCAATTAACTGAACTATGAGAAAAATAATGTTTTTCTTTCATATGTTTTTGCTTTATTTAAACATATTTAACAGGTATTTAAAAAATAATAGTTATCAAAAGAAATATGAATATTCATAGGTGTAGGTGATGTTTCACTATTATCTACAAAAACTGCCAACTTGAAATAAATTTATAAATAAAACTGATCTAAAAAAATAAATTTTAAAGATTTAAAAGATGAGCATTAAGTTTACAATGTTTTCATTTTTCTTGTAAGTTAAGTAACAATCAAGAATTAATCAAAATAAAACAACATATTTTTAATAAATATTTTTCCACATAAATGTACCCAAATACCAAATTTATTCATTATATTTGGTTCTCTATAAATAAACTGTCTTCTAAACTTCTGAAATTGACCTAATAAAAACTTTCAAAACAGTTTTTATAATGAAATAAAATGTAACAGATCTTTTAGGTTTCATTCCAACACACACCCAAAAAAATAAAAACAACGATTCTCTTAAAAGAAAAAAAAAAGTTGTCTTGAAATAACGGAAACTATAAATTATAATTTTAAACAAAGAAGAGGCTAAAAGATACTGGATGAGAGATCTTCATTAAACAAAGTCAGGGAAAGGTGATGGCTGATAGAATTCTTCCCCTGTCTCACATGTCCTTTCTACAATTGTCAGCCTATTTACTGATTTTGACACTTAGTTGATGGCTACATATTGATATGCATAAACAAAATAAATTAAATTAAACATTTATAGTACTAAATAAAATTTCCAACAGCTAAAGCTGACTTTTATGGAACGATTTTCACCAACCCTTGAACAAGTGGTTGCTATTTTAGTTTATTTATTTATTTAAATATATATTTGTTAAACTAATCCATAACATGGATTAAATCACTGATTGGTAGTAATTTTAGTTTTAACACTAACAAATGAATGCAGTTTATATTCTTATTTGCTTAAAGAATGATTCAAGTAACTTGATAATGGATAACTTAAATATGATTAAAACAAATAAAAAATGATAAACTTTTTTTAATCAAAATATGCATTAATGTTATTCTAATAATAATTGTAAAAACATTAATGCAAAATAGGATTATGCGTAAAATTTTGATGTCAAAAAAAAAAAATAACATATAATAAATATTGTTTCTGATACTAACAACTGGAACATAACACAAACATGTTATCCTTAATTATAACTATATTATAATTTAAAATTATAACTACTGCCACTCACGTATTGGAAAAATGGAAAGATTACAATTATGTAATTTCCACAAATTTTCATAAAATCTTTAAATTATTTCCATAAAATTGCAAACCCGCTTGCCACTAGTATTGAATTAATTTAAGGATTGTCATTTACCTACCTTAACTTTATGTGGGAGTATATTAAATATTAAAATAAAAGATCGATGAAAAAGTTCAATTTAAGTCTAATCTTAAAAAGGAGCTCCAACAGAACTTAGTTTACTATTGAAATTAATATAATGTTTTGTTGATAGTGAAACCTTTCTTCAATGTCACCATAAATTAACAGGGTTGCCAGTGTCCTCTTTGAAGATATAAACATTGATGTACTTGCATACGTGTAAATCTACAGGTTATAGTTTTTTAAGATTAAATAAATTTAATTTCAAAAACAGTTATTTTTATTTATATACATACACAAACATATATATATAGATATGCGTGTATGTTGTGTTAATCAGGTTGCAATAAATGAAAGTGTAGGAGCACCAGCACCAAATCGATATTGAATAAATACCTCTTTGGCTACACCTTATAACTAAAGCAGCTTGCAGCTTTCTCTGTTTCGTGATATATGGTGCATATAAACGGACCAAAAGCAACTTATTTACAACAAGGCAAACTGTGTGAACTTTTTAGTAATAGTTGCCTGACATTCAAGAGTATAGAACGGTGGTAGTAAACAAATAACTGAATAAAAGATTCACTAATGCGTGATAAAGGTTCAGATAAACAAGAAATCTTTTTTTTTTTTAAAAAAAGGCGTCTTACAAGCTATGGCACAAACAAATATATTAATAATTATTTCACAATGCTAGTATTTTTGTTTCTTGTTTTCAGCATTTCTCATGCGGTGTCGGTATTAAAAGAAATAAAATAAAGTTTGGTTTAGGAATACTGTCGCTATTAATTAGATGATAATTATGTTTCCCATAAAAAATGAATGTTATTTTTACTTTTTTTTTACTCCACTTATCCCTGTTAAGCAAATCCGATACCTAGGACTCCACCTGGACAAAGGTCTAACTTGGAATCCTCATACCAGACTGAAAGGACAAAAACCGCTCGACGTTTCTGACTACTTCAGCACTTACTAGACAAACGCTCTAAACCTTTCAATTAATTCTAAAAGACTCATATACATGACCACAAGAAGACCTATTTGGACCTACGGAGTTGTGCTTCGGAGTTGAGCTAAACCATCGAATTCCTGTCGTATCCAATCTTTACAATCCGAAATCCTTAATGCTCCTTACTTTGTAACAAATAAAATAATCCATAATGACCTGAATGTTCCATATTTTTCCGAATTGGCCCAATCCAGATATCTATCCTTCCCTAATAAACTTCAGAACCATCCTAATCCTCTCGTTTCTAACCTTGCTTCCTCCTCGATCCCTGATAACCCTCCTAGGCGTCTGAAAAGAAAATGGCCTCGTGATCTCCTAATTTAGATACTTTATTAGAGTGCTACCAACGGGTAGATTCTCCACAAGCCTTGTCATGTCATATATTTCTTTGTATCACATTTGCTGAATGTATATTAATGTGTACAGTTGCAAATTTCATAAATAAATAAAAGACTTTTTTTAGTGCGTCAAAAAAAAAACAACTAATATATAAAGATATACATAAATTTATTATATGGGTAATATATAGTAAGGGAAAGTATTCGAATCTGGTTTTTCAGGTGGAGAGAATACACGTTTTGAAGTTCCCTGACTCTAATTTCCCTAGGTCCCCCAAGTCCCGCAAAATCGTCTGCGTGTGTGTATGAATGTGTGTATGTGGTAAGTCTAGCTGAACGAAATTGATATTATGTATTTAATATAGGTGTATGCCTTCGATGCGACAGCAACTTTTTCATTATAATCGACTAACCGGCAGTGGCACTTTACATCAACGGTTATACACATTTTTACAATTTTCTCAATAAACGGCTACAACGACTTTGTTTAAACTCGGTTTATCATCGTATAACTAAGTGGTCTTTAATATCATTGAGATCTTACCACATTGATTGTCTTGATATCACTTTACAGAGCTTAAATGCTTAAATGTTCAACATGTCTTCCTCTACTAAAGTACCTTTAGTTTGGTTTCTTTTAAATAATTAACCATCTCTCATTATTAAGAGTTACGAAAAAATGCTAAACATAATTCTTGTGAAAGAATTCAATAATTGAATAAAGGAGAAAAAAGGGAAAATAATTATTAAGCTCGAAAATGAATATCCCGAAATAATAGTCAGAAGATATACGTATTATTAAATCATACCATTCACGACTCGAACATCCCTACAATAAAGTCATATGTCTCAAATTGACCCCGTCCCATTCTGAACTTCAACTCAACATCATCCTAGTATTCTAGACCAAACAAATTTCCTAATCTCTTTCGATGCAGATTAAAAAGAAAGTTGCCTAGATAATTTAATAGCACTTTTCGTTGAAAAGCAGAGAATTTTAGAAAAAACAATATATAATATTAAAAAGTCGTAGTAATGGAGAATATCGGAAAATTATAAATAATAATTTGTGAAAACTAATATTATTTAACGGAAATCACATGTATTCTTCCCTTCGTCCTTAGTGCTTTTCAGCGTGGAGGTGCCTCTGACCAGGCAAACCAAATTTCTCGATCCCGAGCCATCACCCTCATGGCTTGCCAGTTTTTCCCTCTTTTCTCTCCCACTTTGGAGATGTAGTCATTCCATTGTATTCTGCATCTCACTCTTGGGTGTTTTCCTATTGATCTGGCCTCAAAATATTTTGTTGGATCCCTGTATCCACTCATTCGACAGAGATGTCCAAACCATCTGAGTTGTCTCTTTTCAGCTTAGTTGTACCCAGTTTTCACTTTCGTAAAGGAGCTTAGGTAGGTATATAGCCTTTAAGATATGTACTTAAACATTCTTCTCTGCCTCCTTCTTCACTAAAACTGTGTTGCAGAGGTGCTACACTATCCATGCTGGTCCGCTCTTTTTAGAGGTTCCTAGAGCTTAATAGCGTCGATTTTCTGGTACCTTCTTGTGTGTTTCTTCCTAACAGAAAGAATTTGCGTGTCTCCTAATAGGAGGTGATCTGAGCTAATATCTACAGCCCTAATCATTTTAATATCAGTATAGAGCTTTTTTATCCTTCTGATATAGATGTAGTAATCGATTATACTATTTACATTCCTT